ATATAATTCTGTTTCAATTCTGTAAGTGGCAACAAACGTTACTGTTGAATGGTGAACAAATAAGATAAAATAGATAAAATAAATCAGTGAAAACTATTTTTTATACTTCCATCTGGTTTTGATCATTTTAAATGAGCTATTTAATTTTTTAATTGAGCAAAGAGCCTTTCAGTAACATTACGTAACTTTAATAACTTAAAAATAATATTTTAATGATTTTAATGTTTTTAAATAATAATAATAATAGTAATAATAATAATAATAATAATAATAATAATAATAATAATAATAATAATACTAATAATAATAATAGTGTTTTCATGATTATAATGTTTTAGATAATTATAATAATAATGATAATTATAATAATAAGGCAGGCCTACCCTAGGCCTAGGCTAGATAGAGAACTATTCTAAGGATTTAGTTACTCTTCATGGAAGCTGAAATCCAAATCATCCTGATCATTAACTGTTTCAGTGGCAATAAGACGATTGGTCAAAGATCTTATAAACACAAGATAGCGTTCTCCGCGATTTACGCGTAACAAATAGAAGCGTCGGTCAAGGTTCAAAAGTTTCCAATTTCGCAAGAGGGCGCCATTCATGCGCTATTATACCAAAGAGAAAAAGTAATCAGTTTTGGAAGAGGGCGTCCTATCTGTTGCCATGGATCTGAGATGGTTCCTGTTCTGCTGTTCACAGGATGGATACCCTAAAGGTAAAGTCGCTCGCTGTACGATATGGTCAGAGCGGTCAAGGGTCAAAAGTTTCCAATTTAGCAAGAGGGCGCCATTCATGCCTTCTTACAGAATTTGCACGCGTAAATCGCGGAGAACGCTATCTTGTGTTTATAAGATCTTTGCGATTGGTGGATGCATTTTTAGCTACTTGACGCCAACATTAGCTATCATTATTTTGTTGCTATCTTAATGACCATTTAATGCAGTTTTTATTCCAATTCCATCTGATAATAATCAACAATAAAATCTACAATACTTGGATTGTAATTATGTATGATAAAAAACGCCAACTGTATTTATTATTGATTATCACTGAATTGTATTTATAGTGGTTGCTGCTATGTATACCTTCAGGTACTCGTACGTTCATGTATCAATGTCTCAGTTTAGTCAAATTAACTGTTCTGAGTTATAATATTCCTGCTATATTTTATTTATCATTAGTTTAACGCTGACTGGTAAATTTTTTTCAAGAACTCTCCTCTTTACACTCTAAAACACAACATTAACATCAGGACAAGCATTTGTGAGAAAACTTCATTAAAATTGTGTTCAACACTATAAATATGTGTACAATACTTTACTTAAAACAAAAATTTAATTTGCGCTAATATCAACTGAAAATATCTAGATGTTTTTAAAAACTGGAACATATCTAAGGACCTTATGAGGAGGTGTCAGATTTCCAAGACGAAAGCAAAGTTGGCATGGTCGAGCTTCGATAACAAGGTTCCGAAAGTGGTCCTGGGGGAGAAGGCCACGAAAATGTTGACAATTTAGGGGTTTCAAATGCTTATTTAATCGATTTTATAGTCTACTAATATTTAAAAAATACATATAATGTTTTTTTTTTTCTCATCACCGAATTTTTCTCCCCGATGGTGGGGGGGGGGGGCTCTCCCCGACAGTGGGGGTGGTCCTGCTCCCTCCCCCCGCTGGCACCATCCCTGTTGAATACTCTTGATTTGTGCCTTTGTTGCATGAATTTCTGATTGTGTCCCCTGGATACATGAGTGTGTAGATGGACATACTAGTGAAGTGGGATATTGACAAGCTCATTTTGCATCTTATAAACCGTACCTAGTGGTCGACGTCGTCTTCTGGTTTGTAATGTGTTCCCAGTACAATTCGTCAAGATGCGGCTAACAGTGCCTTCTTCTCTTGCGTATTCTTCTTTACAAAAATTAGCTTCTTGGCGCTGGACATGTTTCAACGACTTATTATTGTTTATAATGGATGAATCCTACTTGAAGCATACTTTCGAAGAGGTCGGACCATACCGGTACTCTGTAAGCGGTTACCTTCATATCTTCGCCAAATCTCCAGCGATTTCTCCTGATGACATTTTGGACTCACTAAATTTCCTAAGTCACATTTACGTTAGATAAAGAATGAAGGAAGTTTCTTTTAGTTGTCTTAAAATTGTACTGAGATATTAAATTCTTTATACTATAATGCAATAATGCAATAGAGATGAAGTTAACGTATAAACTTTGTAGTAAATAATTAATTTAGTTGCATGTATTTGGTAATTACTGCATTATGTGAAAATAGTTAGATCTTGTTATTCCAAGATTCGATGTTAGTATTGAATGGAAACATCTCATTATTGATAATAATAATATTTGTAATAGTAATTAATAGTAGACAAGAGAATGTTAACTTTTTGGATGCGTGTCATTGATTATGAACGAAGTAAACTGTCAAACATTACATTTAGATTGACTATGACAATTTGCATAAAAAAATGATAGCAAATAGTATTAACCGATTGAGTGTTATCTCAAAACAGGATTGGCTGCACGAAGTTAACACAAATAGAATGTGTGAAAATTATAGATTCTATTCTTTAAGTGTGATCTCATATTTTAACAATCATTAATAACATTATCAGATAAAAAAAAAATGATCTTTGTAGGTGTGATGATCACGCTACAAATTGTACTCTGTGTAATCGAAATGATACCGGAGATAATTCCATTTTTTATTCGTTTGCCCTACACTAAGGATGTATTAAAAATATTATTACATTAGACCTAATCAAAAGAAATAAAGTTTTTGTCATTTGTCACTGTCACCTATCTTGTTGATAGTTATTTGAAGAGCATGTAAATAATATTTATAATTGGTAAAACAGGGAGCATTGAAATTACATGGAAACATCTCAAACCGAACATCAAAAGTTATAACCCCGCGGTACCGCCGTTTTCTATTACATAATCAACTGATAAACAAGTTACAACTAATTATGATGAAGTAAACTGTCCCGTCGGAGGCATTTTATTACACAATGACTTTTATAGGACTCTATTCGTTGAAAAGCTACAGGGTAGCCTACGATGTTCCATCATGTCCTTATTTAACACTGTATATGTACCTTTGATGATTTATATTATATTTATTCAGCAGTGTTAACGGCTAACTTTCTTCAATATCATATACAATATACGACAGTATTTATTTCTAGCCGTTTCTCCAGATAATTTATCTGGCCGAACGCCCTCTTGAGACGCACCATTGTGTAATACAATGTTGCCGACGGTTATTTGGACCTGTTCAACCATGAAGCCTTCGTGTTCCAGTGGTTATGACGCTCGCCTTGTCAGCGAGAGGTCGCAGGTTCGAATCCCGTCGGAGGCATTTTATTACACAATGACTTTTATAGGACTTTATTCGTTGAAAAGCTACAGGGTAGCCTACGATGTTCCATCATGTCCTTATTTAACAATGTATATGTAACAACGTGATTGGACCTTCCTTCCCAGGTGTTCATGTAACATTGACATAATTGTTAGCTAACCAGTTGTGTGTATTTCTTTGTGAAAATGAGTACCGCGGCGTATTCATTTTCACAAAGCATTTGCATCTCCTCTTGGAAAGAGGGAACTTCGGAACAATTGTCTCCATGTCTTCGCTAATTAATTCCCATGATCACTTAAAATGTACAATAATCATTTCACTACCCGACCAACACATAATAGTTTCATATTGCTGTACTATATACTCCAACATCACTGGCACATGGTAACAACCAACTGACTGCAGACCATTTCCGGTCACACATTACACTCTCCATAACACAGCACCCCCTAGTTCCGTCACCTCTGGATGATTTAGGTATTAAGCAAAAGTATAGGACTTTCTGTGTCAGAGATAACGCTTTATGTAGAACATTTTCCAAGTGGTTCGCAGAGATTAAATGTTAGTTATTTAGGACATATTGCGTAAACGGTTCCTCTATGACTATATAAATTAATTTAGTGATTCAGAGGCTCTATCAGCAATATTTAGTCATAAGTACCATTGGGTCATTAAAAAAAAAGAACTACTAATATTTATTTAATATTGGAGCCTGTGAATTTATTCAATAACATCCCTTCATTCTAGGACGACTCGATAAAATCTATTGTTCACTGTGCTCTTCCTCCCTTACTACTTGGCGATGGTGTAAACTAATATATTTTTACTGTAATTTGAAATTTTCTTGTTAATTGTGGAGAATATAAAGTATACATATGCCCTCTTCTATTTATTTATACTTGTTTTTATATATGGCTATTTATATATGCATTAAAGTGATAAATGGATAATGTTATTCTTAGTAACCTGTATTTTTTCAACATATTAACGGAGTGAATGAATGTATTTTAATGCAGATTTAATTGAACATTTTGTATATTGAAATTGTGATTTTGTTTAATATAAACGTGAAAATATGGTTATTTTGCAAAACATAACAATATGTCATAGATTACAATGCTAAGCTCCGGCACTTAAATATTGTGGCTAAGGTTCCATGATAAAACGACAACGTAGAAACACGCAAACACACGTGCGTGTGTTGGGCAACGTCGTCTTTGAAGGCACGTTCGTATTCATGGCCCTAAGAGGTCAGTTAATAAGATTGATTGACAATACGGAAATGTCCATTGTGAAAACAATATAGAATATAATGTTGGTGTAGGTATACTTGGTGAAGAGCAAATGGGATTTAGGGACGGTTACTCCACTAATGATAATATATTTGTACTCATTTCCATAATTGCATTATACGTAAATAAACATCTGTTGTAATGCACTTTTATCGATAACAGCTTAGTATTTGACCCAGTTGACCGATTTTCTTTTAGAGTAAACTAATATTATGTGGTATAAATGGTAAAGTCATTAATGTCATTTTTCTGCTAAAACGAAGTCATGTGTCAAACAGATTGGCGTGATATCCGAATTTTTCCCATGTAATGTTGGAGTGCAAAAAGGAGAAAATTTATCTCCGCTTTTATTTGCTATCTATCTTAATGACTTCGATTTTTTTTTATTAGTCGTTATTATAAAAGTTTGGATCACTTAGCTAATGAATTTAATAATGTCTTAAGTGGAAACAATAAAATGACATGATTAAGGCTAGGACTTAAATTACGATTTTAAAAAGATATACACTGTTATGAAAATAAAGTTTATGTTTAGTATTAAATGGTTAATTAATAATGATTGAACATTTTGTTATTTGTTAGCATCACCATATTATATTATGTTTATTATTGTTTTTATTTAGCCAGATTTTGTATTCTAAAGTTATTATGTATCACAGAGTGTAGGCCTGTCGCTTACATTCGACCGTCTGTCTGGAAGGTAGCCGATCAAAAGGTAATCGGACATAAACCACCCAGGACCTAAACCACCCGGACGTAAACCACCCAAACTGGAATATACCATTGTGAAAGTAGGGTGTGCAGTGGGGTGGACAATGTTGGGTGGGCCTGTTTTTATCACCTTCACAATAGGATAGATTACACTGTGACTGTGACCTATTATACGCCTTTAATTCATTCAACTCTTTTGACAACATGCATGTATGTTAATAATCATTGTAGATTTTTCCTGATTTCAGTAATCACTTTGCTTAAAGCTTGTATTTTCCTAATGATTTTAACACAACAAGTTGTATTTTTCTAATGATTTTAACACAACAATCAACTTCAAAGTTTAATGGAAATTCAAATACATTTAATAATATTAATAGTTTGAATTTAAAAAGTCATATTTTGTATTAAAGTTTTAATATGATTAATTTAATAACATTTTTTTCTCTCTTGGTACGTACGGTATTTGTCTAATATTATAGTATTCACAAGGACTTGTCCCTACTTCCTTTAAATATGATTTAATAATAATATAAACAGTCATATCTAATAATTCCTTTAAATATGATTTAATAATAATAATAATATAATAATAATAATAATAATAATGATAATAATAATAATAATAATGTGAATTAAACAGTCATATCCAATAATGAATGTATGTTAATAAAATATTCATGTTATTAATAAGATCTCACTATTTTATATTTTATCTGTTTTGATTGAATTGTCACTACTGTATAATTAATATTTCTTCTTGCATTAATGACAGTTATAAAGAAACGAAACATACACAGTAATTTAGTAGTAAAACCAATTTATTTCCATAGTAGTGAATACAATCTAATTAAATACTCCATTACAAATAAAGTAAACTTATACTACAGTTACATTATTTACATTTACATTAAATAAGATTAAAATTATACGGTATGTAATGATATAGACTATACATCATAAAAGATATTAATTACTCTAATATAGAGTATACTTAAACTAGAATTACAAAACTCCATTACAAATAGAGTAAGCTTATACTACAGTTACATATTTAAATTTACATTAAAGAAGATTACAATTATACTGTATGTAATTATATAAGCCTACTATACATCATAAAAATATAATTACTTTGATATAGAGTATACAAACTACAATTACAAAACTCCATTACAAATAGAGTAATACTACAATTACATATTTACATTAAAGAAGAATAAAATTATAGGGGCCAATTGTATGTAATTATATTTGCCATACATTTACCTACTATACATTATTAAAAAACATAATTACTTCAATATAGAGTATACTTAAACTAGAATTACATACATACATCATATTTCATAACAAATTTGATCAGTTCATACTTGTAACTAAAATTATAGGCCCTACATTTGGAATGATATACTGGTTCTATATATTTACATTACTGTACTTAATTTTTCAACCTAATTAATATGAGTTGCCGAGATTAAATTCTTTATTTCATTCGAATATTGTAACCTAGTGCAGTGATCGTTTCCCCTAATGTCTTGGTTTGGTCATTGTACTTGCTGATTATATTAAGAAGTCGCTGTTGATGGTTTACTGTCACCTTTGTGATACGTCTTGCTGGTATTGGCTTCCCCCTCCTGAACAATTCTATCAGTGTTGCTGATGCTGCTTGGTCATTCTGCGCTGCATGATATGTATACGTTCCACTAACATAGGTCGCATCAAAGTAGTCAACAAAGTCACGTAACACCTCTGGTGTGTTGTCCCTTAATAACTGCATCCCTTCTTTAACCTATACAAAAGAAAGAATCAATAGAAATAATTATTATGATCAGATTTATTTTTGACTTTCACAGAAATGTTATTCGATCAAATCAAATCAATTTCATATATTTGTACATTCCATAACAATAATGATAAATAGTAATAAATGCAGCAGCAGCAGCACTTAGTAGTAGTATTAGCAATAATAATAATAATAATAATAATAATAATAATGTCTAATATAATTAAGAATAAAAATTATATATGCAGTTAGTTAATTTTTTTTTTAAATAAAATTACAATTACAGTATTAAACATTATTCAGAATACAATTTATTATAAAATAATATAGATAGAAACATACCTTATCCGGGGGCAGGAAATCTAGTCCATCTACCATGCCACAGAAATGCTGGATTTCATACCAAGATAAAAACGTTATTATTCTATTCAAACTTTACTAAAATTTCAACAAATGAAAACTACAAATGCCTTTAAATGGGTGTCTTTTGTTTCTTTATAACTGTCATTAATGCAAGAAGAAATATTAATTATACAGTAGTGACAATTCAATCAAAACAGATAAAATATAAAATAGTAAGATCTTATTAATTATTATTATTATTATCATCATTATTATATTATTATTATAATTACTGTATTATTATTATTATTAAATCATATTTAAAGGAAGTAGGGACAAGTCCTTGTGAATACTATAATATTAGACAAATACCATACCAAGAGAGAAAAAATGTTATTAATGTATTAAAACTTTACTAAAAAAATTCATTTCAGCAAATGAAAACTACAATAGTGTTTCATCCATTTTTATAATATTGAAGTAAATATTTTTTTTAGTAGGCCTATATTAATACATACAGTTGTAATCTTCTTTAATGTAATTCAATTAATTACTTCTTTATAACTGTCATTAATGCAAGAAGAAATATTAATTATACAGTAGTGACAATTCAATCAAAACAGATAAAATATAAAATAGTAAGATC